ACTTTCCGTTTTTGTTTTCTTCAGTAAATTTTGCTGTAAATCGGATGGATGAGTTTCAAATTGAAGAACAAAAATGTATAAACAATCAACATTTATGTGAAGTTCTGATACCAACTACCAAATGTGAATTTTATAATTATTTCGCTATAATTCATCGCAGATGACCATAAAAAATTTAAAAGACTGATTATCGAACAAAGAATGTTCTCTCGATAAAATCCTCGTCAGGTTCCGCCTACATCTATGTGACTGTAATAATTATAGCATGATTTTTATCATAAACAGCATTAATGCTGTTCGAAATCATATTCAATCAATGCTGTCGACAGATTACGTTTCAATACACTTCACAAGCATCAGTAAGCGAGAGAGAGAGAGATAATACGCATCAATACGACAATAGACTGACTGGATATCAGATAGAAATTGAAGGAAGTAACAGCGAATCTATGAATTTATAGTTTCCACTACAGACCAGGATAGTATTAGTGACTGACTGTACCTGTTTCGTTTGCACACAGAGTTGTGGTGGATCTAAGCGAACTGCAATCTCCTCCACTGTTTGATGTATTGACTATCTAGAATCCTTCGGTAATCTGTTCGATACCTGATAGATGATAGAGAAACACTATTCAATGCTAGCTAGCTTTGTGGCCTGTTTGGACGAGGTGATCCAACATAGAACTGTTGATAGTTTCAACAGGACCTTACCCAACCGAACTGATAAGTGTACCCAGACATGAACAATTCAGTTCCTAAAGCAACAGCCAATATAACTGGCTCTACAGGAGCACTTGAACTGACAGATACAGTTAGAGATAGCCACTTTAGGTGATTCATCTTTCATTTTCCGAATGACAACCGGTTGTTGAGTGGAAAATATATATCCACAGCTTATCAGCATTACGCGATTTCTGAGTTGATTTTCTCAATGTGTTAACTATTATTTCACTTGGTATATCACCACCTATGGATTGTCGAAATTATGAATCCAAAAATTCTCTATTACTTCCCTTAATTTATCTGATATATGCAGTCAGTTTCTTTTTTATTCCTTCACGTTCCCAGTGGAACATAGGGCTTCAAGCTAGAGCCAGCTTGAAGTTTCTGTAGCAGTGATGTTTATTTTTACAGGATGGGGTTGTTAGCCTCATGCCTAACCTTTCCTCTTCACCAGCTTTAGTTCTGGCTTAGCGAGGTAAAGGAATGCGCCGGCGAGGGATCGAACTCCGGACCATGTGCATGGTCGGTGAGCGTCCTAACTGCTATGCCACCGAAGTACTGTCAGTCAGTTCACTGTTATAGTAATGCATATCACTCTCTCTCTCTGTTTCTCTTACTGATGCTTTTGAAGTGTATTCACCTATCGATGCTATTGATTGAATGTGATTTACAACAGCATTGATGGTGTTAATAACAACAATCATGCTATAATTGTTACAGTCATATAAATGTACGTAGAATCTGATAACGAATTGATCGAAGCGTATACTTCGTCTTGATTAATTCTGTTTCCCCACTCACACTAGTTCTGTAACTTACTTTTCATTAGCTTCAGTTGGACATTTTGTGACTCCCAATCCATACAATTATTTTAGTATATTCATGTCTGAATGTTGAGAAAATTAATGTTGAAGATGTCACCAGTAAGCTGCATAATGACTCGACAGCATAATTCCGTGTGTGTGTGTGTGAAGGTGGTAGTTACAACCTGACAACTAAACATTACTAATTCGAATTTGTTTGGAGAATCTAAATTTCTGCCATATAACTAGAGATCTCAGGATTAATGCATTCCGACAGTACACATGCAACACACTCCCTTTTATGATTAACCTCTACCCATATCAGGATATATACATATATATATGTTTATGTCGAAATTTTCAGCCAGTGTCTTAATACAAGAGTCATTATGTCATTCCAAATTCCTGTATAGCGAAACATCCTATTCAGCCATTTAGAAAACTAAAGAAAGCTCAAGCAAACAATATTCTCTCCCTTAAAATCCACTTCCGGATCTACAATTACATGTATATATGTACAAAATATTCTGGAATAGTCGTCATTAGCAATATTCGTGTTTCTCTCAACAATATCGATTTGTTAAGATAAATGGAGTTACAGTTCAAGAAAGATGTACGAGTTATAATAAGCATTAAAAATGTAACACTAAATAGAAATTCACATAAAATTAAACAAAATTCATGCAACAAATTAAAGGTCAGTGAAACCTTGATGTCCGAGGTAAGGAAAGCTTCCAAACCAACTGCTTTCGGATACACATAGGTTAGACTTCTTATTGTGGATTCTGACAGTCTCATCAATATGTAACAGACGAACTATTCAGGTGAGATTAAGATTAGTCGGTATACGGTAGATAACACTGAAAGCCTTGTTAAAATCAATCGTGTGTTCTGTGTCCACAAGATGAGATAGAATAGAACTACGAATGCCCTTTGTTTGACTCTTGATTAACAACTACACACGATGGTGTTCGGAAATCCGACGACAAACACGCTTAATTGAACGTCGTGGGTAACTGACTCCAACTGATAGAGACACATAGAAGAGGAAAACTTAGGCAGTTTACCTTTAACTCCTGAACGTGAATTGGTGGTGGCTTTGAAGAGACAGTGTATTTAGGCGGTATTCCCTAAGGATAGTGTTATTATTTCACTGCGTATTATCACCGAGGAAATGAATTTGTAGGAACATGGCGTTTGTCGGAACTGTTGGTTCTTTGGCTTCCCTTGGCCCTGAATTCATATTCTCGTCGATGAATTTTTTCTGAGTAAGCGTTCTCACTAAGTAACTTTTAAGTGATATTTACGCTCTTCATTAAGACATTCATCTGAGCGGACTCCTTCTGCTCTGTACACCAAACACTTTAGCAGACCGCGTTTGTATTTCAAAGACACGAATCTTAAAATTTCAGTATTCTTCCCGGTGGATGTATGTCTTCTATACACACTTGTTCTTATTGGACCTCTTTCTTTTCTAGTCATAAGGTGGTTTCGGAGTTTTCAAATTTAAGTGTAATTTATTCCTCATAGTCACATCACATAGCACTCAGAAAACTTTCTAACTTAGTTTATATAATTTCATTATTTCTTATCCTTCGATTTGATTTTTAGTAATATCAGATTAGACGGATGGAATTACATTCGGTCACAGTGGCCGAATTCTATTCTTATACCAATAAACCGTTATTATTTTGTCACAGTGATGTTTATTAAATGGTTGTAGGCAGTCAGCAGAAAGCCTTCTATCACCTACGTTTCGTGCTTGTCTACACTCACCACCAGTCAGGAAGGCTTATCTGCAATCTTAAAATAAATCCATGTCCCTTCTGAGATTCGAAACCGTATCACTAATTGGTGCAGTCGGAGATGTGAACACAGAGTTATTCAGGCCCGTCACTGATCTCCTGTAGGATTGTGTTGAATATTTTGATTGGATACTAGATGGTAATTAGTGTCATATATCTATGCCTTTGTTCGGTGCAGACTGAATTCCTTCTGACTGCCTCCAACCATCTAATAATAACAAGAATTCCCAGTGCACCGTGATGATGAGCCACCTAGCATGCTGACCATACTGCAAACGAGACTAATAGAATTCAGTTGGCAGCGAAAAAATGACTAGATAAACGACACTAGCTACTAACTGGCGTCCAATCAAAATAGAGTAGTGTTCATTTCATAAGTTGAAGTAGTTTGAAGTAGAAAAAGACTGTCTCAGTTGTTATTATCATTAACCTTGGCGTTGCATTTCACGGTTAAATAAAATAAGCCGGTAAGCCGGCGGAGCACAACTAGGTTAAGTACATATATATATATATATATATACATATATATATATACATATGTATATATAAACTTTAATTTTCATCAAGGTGTGATAAGAATTCCTCTTCTCATTCACTATAACCTGTTGTACACATTACGCGACGCAGTTAAAACTGTGTACGTAGTCAGCAAGTTGTCTGATTTTATAAAAGCAGTTTACTTATCACCTTAGGCCCAACACACATGATGTCTCAGTTTACGTAACATTATTGGCCCATATGTAGCAATGATTAGATGTCTTGTGCCATCAACCAACTACTATCAACGGTAGAAATTTGAAAGAGTTCACTTGCTTCCCTCAAATATGAAGCATCCTTTCAACTACAGCCAGTCGGAACGTATGAGGATGTCAAAACCAGAATTGGAAAGATGAGACAGATATCAGTTTGGAAATCTTATACACTCCGCAGCATAACGAAGAAGATTTAGATTTTCAACACCAATGTTAAGTCATTCAGTGCTTCTATCTATATGGCTCAGAAACTCGGCGGTCAAATCGCCAGCAGGCTGCGCATATCTATCAACATTTCTCGGAATGAACCAATCAAGAACCTATTGCTCAACAAATATGTAGAAGAAAATGGGGACCTGAATGACATTGTGCGCCATCATGCGTCACTCGACTGGAACCCGAATCGGAAACAACGAGTTGGGGTGCGTGGGTCCGAAAATGACGCAGAGGAGATCGTGTGACGGGAGATGAGAGACTATGTGAAATCGTGAAGCCAGCTAAAGAGGACTGCAGGGAAGAGAACAAAATGAAGATGTTTATTTGAAGCGCCATGGTCCACTCAGGACCCAGGGGAACAATACCAATAATCGTCAGTCTTCAATCAGTGGAAGTGTTGTTGTTCTATGTTAGTGAAGTTGGGTTTAATTACTCGACACGCATCTCATGAGTCAGCAGAGATTCAAATGTCACTTATTTCAGTGTCAGTGTCCACATTGCTTGTTATTACTGATAAAATCCCCTACACATTCAGTGTAACTTGAAGCCTCCGATTGGTTAGAATATGTATGTGGGTTAACTAAGTTACTTGCATTGTATCATATGCATATATATATATATATATACATGTCCTTTGGCTTTTCAGTCTCCCTGATAACTTTCCTCTCTGAATTTCTTTTTTATCTTCCCAAATCATCACAGAATTGTATATCCAGTTCGCATACACTGAGACCTATTCAACAAAGAAGTGTAACTTCCTCTGCATCCAGTGACCGATAAACAAAAGCAAAAATAATAAAGAAAAAAACAATGTTTTTATTGTGCAAACAAAATAACAATTCAATCTATTGCAAACTGCTTATTATTAATCGATATTATTCGAACAGATTGACATGTAAAGCTGTAGAGGCTTTTGAACTGCTCGGTATACCAACATCCAGTACACCAGAAGATTGCCGACAAGCCTATCTTAAACTAGCTCGGTATAAGCATCCCGATACAAGAAATGTTAATATTAATAATAGTAGTAATAATAATAAACAGAAATGTAGTCAGAATAATACTGATGAATTACAAGAGATAGCAAAGGCTGAATTCCAGCGATTACACGAAGCATATACAATTGCTTATGAAATCTGTCAACATAATCAAAAGTTAAATAATAATAATAATAATAACCTTTTACAAGAGGATGATGAATTGAACACGGATATTGAAAAATTTCAATATAAAGCACCACAGGTAAGTTCTCCTTTTTATTGATTTTATTCGCCTTCTATATATAATATAGGTGAATGTTTAAATATTAACATGTATTGAAGAGGATAGTATTTGCGTCAAATTATGCACATATGTACACATATATCTTTATAATTAGATACTAGTGCAACAGCCACTGAAAGCCAGGAAGCATTGTAGGACAGTTTCATCCTAGTCTGGGACTCTTCAAACACTTCTACACACCCTTGATTTGTTGATTTATACCCATCGGGTTACAATTCTGACTGAGTGAATTCTAACCGTAGAACTTCGAACTAGAGTGGAGGAGTTCATTTTCCCACATGGCGTATAGGGACAAAAGCATTGATATTCTCCATCTCTCCTGTGGCTAGTCAGGTTGGACAGTGTTACAAAATACCTTTACATGGAATTGACGGTGTATGCGGCCGATATGCTTTGCTCTACATGAGCAAGAAAACTGACCAATACGCATTGAGGCAGTCCAAAGCAACATCTTGCGCTTAAGGCATGACTGGGTTAACCGTCTTCTGAAGAATATGATTGGGCAAGGTGGTTGATTAGAATGTCTAGTTAGCCAGAGGGGAAACGAATAATAGTACCAATTGTCCTATCCTCAAACCCTTCGTCAACTATGGGCATCGGGCACTAGTGTATGATTGCTTCACTATATCTCACGAAAGGATCTTGAATACTCCATTTATACATAACTGAGTCACTGGCTAATCGGGACCTCAGATCTGTGCCCTGTGTTCAAAGTAGCACATAAACTCACTCACCTTATCGTGGCGAAGGTAATTTTATTGTCATCATTTTTTTCATTTCATTGTCTGATTTTTTAGTTTATTATTATTATTCCATAATTGTTATGTGAAGTTTGGCTAAAGATTGATATCAGTTAGAGAACCATTGAAAACCAGTAAGGAGTACTGGACAGACATTTTGTCCTAGTCTGGGACTCATCCTTAGGACTCAACCACTAGGTTTGGAACCCAGTACCTTCCGATTACAAGGCAAACTCGTAGGCCATTCAGCCACCGAGACCCAAACTTGTGGCCCATTAATTCTAACTTCTACCAATCCGTGATCAAACTTGAAGCAAATCAAATCTCTACAAACTAACTCTTGAATACTAATCTGACGCTTGGTAGTGATGATACAAGACGTAGTTGCATGGGAATTTAGTGAGATTTCGTGACCAGTGGGGTCTCACCGAGCGGGAGCTAGCAGAGGTAATCGCTCATCACATTGGCTGGTGGTTGCCATAAAATCACGAATTGGTAGGAGATAGAATTCATGGGCCATTGAGCCGCATCCCAGTGTCTGTGTAACGACAGAAGACAAGGGCCAAACAACAAATTGTTTATTGAGGAAATCAAGAGGTAGTCATAGATTTTTTTTGTAAATTGTTGTTAGCGGAGAAGCAGCCTCTTCTGAATGGTTGTTTTCTTGCTGAAGGTTATTCTGTTATCTCTTTGTGGCCGTTTCTCAGAAAATCATGCCATACATCTGCGAATCATATTTCCACACGTTCACTCCTCTGTGATTGGCTGGTGATTTTCTCAAGGTTAATCTTTGTTGTTGCTTTTTTCTCATAACCCTGATTTGGGACGTGAACATTGACGTAAATTGTTGTCTACAGTTTTGGCTTGCAGCCAGCTCTCCCCACATCTGAATGGTCTGCGAGGTCGTCTTGTATCCTAAAGGTCTTTGCTTCTAGCCCCTGTGGTGTATAGGTTCTGATGAATAGTCCTCGACTACGATGAAACAACTATCCAAATAATCTCATGATCTACAATGGCTTCTCTAACTGATATCAATCTGTGGGAAAACTTGAAACAAATCAAATCCCTACAAACTAACTCTTATTGTTATTGCTTATCAATAACATTGTTTTTCTGATACGGGTTTCCTGTAAACAATTTAACGTGTCTTCTCTTGCTTTTGTTTTGAATCAACAACCCTTTCACACTTAAGTCACGTAATTCCACCTGCCGAGTTTTAATCTCCATATAGTCATTCCCTACTAGATTCGATTTGACATTACACGAAACGTTTTCTAAAACAAATGGGAAACAGTTTATTAGTAATATCTGATCAGATAGAAGCATTCCGCATCTTATGACTAAGCTATTCACACTCACAAAAACAAATGTGTCCCATTATAAGTGTATAGCAGAATTACATTACAGTGACTACGAGTAATCTTGCCAGCGAGTCATAAAAGTCAAATCAATTGCATTAGTAGTTATATTCATTGAAAATGCCAATTAAGAATTAGGAAGACTGATTGCCGAACAAAGAATACTTTTTCCTATAAATTCCTCGAACTGCAATATCCTCCACTGTTTGGAGTGTTGACTATCTAGAGTCCTTCGGTAGTCTATTCGATACCTGATAGGTGATAGAGAAACACTATTCAATGCTAGCTAGTTTTGGGGCCTGTTTGGACGAGGTGATCCAACATAGAACTCTTGATAGCTCCAACAGCACCTTACTTAACCACACTGATACGTCTACCCAAGTATGAGCGATTCAGTTCCTAGAGCAACGGCCAATATAACTGGCTCTACAGGAGCAGGTGAATTGATAGATACAATTGGAGGGGGTAATTTAATGCAATTTAAACATCATCCATGTTGTGAATGACAACAGTCATTCATTAATTATTACTGTTATATACATGTAGAACCTGATGAAGCAGAGGTTACTGGTGGAAATTAGTATTATCATTATTCTGTGTTCACTCAGCTTTCATATTGTTTCTTGAGCGTCTCATTATGCAGCTTACTGTTGACATCTTCAACATTAATTTTCTCAACATTTAAACATGAATATACTAAAATAATTGGTGCGTCGGTGGCATAGCAGTTAGGACGCTCACCGACCATGCACATGGTCCGGGGTTCGATCCCTCGCCGACGCACTCCTTTACCTCGCTAAGCCAGAACTAAAGCTGGTGAAGAGGAAAGGTTAGGCATGAGGCTAGCAACCCCATCCTGTAAAAATAAGCATCACTGCTACAGAAACTTCAAGCTGGCTCTAGCTTGAAGCCCTATGTTCCACTGGGGAACGTGAAGGAATAGAAAAGAAGCTGACTGAGTATATCAGATAAATTAAGAGAAGTAATAGAGGATTTTTGAATTCATAATTTCGACAATTCATAGGTGGTGATATACCAAGTGAAATAATAGCTAACGCATTGAGAAAATCAACTCAGAAATCGCGTAATGCTGATAAGCTGTGGATATATATTTTCCACTCAACAACCGGTTGCCAGTCGGAAAATGAAAGACATCTCTAACTGTATCTGTCAGTTCAAGTGCTCCTGTAGAGCCAGTTGGTTATATTGGCTGTTGCTTTAGGAACTGAATTGTTCATGTCTGGGTACACCTATCAGTTCGGTTGAGTAGGGTGCTGTTGAAACTATCAACACTTCTATGTTGGATAGCCTCGTCCAAACAGGCCCCAAAACTAACTAGCATTGAATAGTGTTTCTCTATCATCCATCAGGTATCGAACAGATTACCGAAGGACTCTAGATAGTCAACACTCCAAACAGTGGAGGACATTGCAGTTCGCTTAGATCCACCGGAAATCTGTGTTCAAACGAAACAGGTACAGCCAGACGCTAACAATACCCTGATCCGCTGTGGAATCTATAAATTCATAAATCCTAGGTTACTTCCTTCAATTTCTATCTGATATCCAGTCAGTCTATTGTCGTATTGATGCGTATTACCTCTTTCTCTCTCTCTCTCTCGCTTACTGATGCTTGTGAAGTGTATTGTATTGAAACGTAATCTGTCGACACGATTGATTGAATATGATTTCGAACAGCATTAATGTTGTTAATGATAACAATCATGCTATAATTATTACAATCATATAGATGTAGGCGGAACCTGAATATTCTTTGGTTGATAATCAATCATACAGCATTTGTTCACACTTTTGAGTGTATTCAGCCTTTTGCATTAGAACTAGGCTAAACATTCTTCGCGTCTCATTATTTGATGTCAGCGAAAAAGTACTTAATTATGTTTAATACGGAGTCCAAACTGAACAGACCATAATAATTTATCGTTGATTTTATCAATACTTTTTGCATCTACATTTAATGAACCTGAAATTTTCTTTTGTGACGTAAGAAAAGATGAATCAGGCTTTCATCAATGCATATTTTGACAAATTGTTTTTCTTTGTTACTGATTTTTGTACTTTCTTTTTGTGTACGTTGAAGCAGACAGTTAAGAAGTTGATACTTCCGAAAAGATGAAGGTGTTTATATTTTGTAGATTCTCTGTGTCTCCCTGTCGGTCTGTCTCTCTCTCTGCCGTCCTTCTGTTCTGAACTATAATAGAATTCCATCTTGTTAGCACTTTTTCAATATTCACTTGTTTTTCCTCCTTAGTATAAACATATGGTTTAGCTTTCAACAATATCGTTAATACTAATAACAGCTGTCTTTGGGAAAGTGTGCTTGCTTGCACATACACACACACACAGTATATGGAATTCATTTCAATAGATTTACCATCTATAGTGTGAAAACTTTTCATACAAAAGCTTTCGCTGAAGATGTTGTCTAGAAGGACCACGAAAGCTTCACAGTTAAATCAACCAGACCAGTGAAACCAACCCCAAATCATTTATAAAGCGTATCTACACTTTAGGATGTTTCAGTGGATTGATGATATGTACCATATTCCTACTTACCAGAGTTTGATCGAGCGACACCAGGATACGAGTAAAAACAAAACATTTCTGATTTAGTGTAAACCACATATCTGCTAGCATGAAATCATGAGAACGTAATTTTAATATATGTTCCACTTTGACACTTACCACCTAGAATATGACTGTGTAGCAACAGTTACTACTGCAGACAAGCAAAAACTCTGAAGTCGTCCAAAAAATACCTCATGAGAATTTTTTCACTTCACATAATTCATTCTCACATATCTAAGAATTATAATACTTATTTCGTTGTGTCAAACATA